CCTCAATCCTGCAAGATCTAGATCTACCCACACGTTCGGTTCTATCAGCGACGCCATCATGGAAGCGATGAGCAGAAGTAGCAGCAGCAGAAAGCAGATCCCGTCCTATAATATTGCGATTGTAGCAACGCCAACCTGGGCTCGTGTCACGGTCAATTTCCTCAGCATAATACACGTCACTCAGCCCTCAAATCTCCCTGCTCCTACCCACCTCGCAGGAAATCACAGTAGCCAATCACACTCGGCAAGCCCCGCCCCAGACCCCGCCCCTTCTCGTCACCTCGCGGTGTGTTTATTGATCCGGTTTGGAGACAGCGGGCGAGGTCCCCGCGTGCAATATGGGGCTGTCGCGGCGAGTGATACGAGCAGACGACAACACAGCGAAGGTGAACAGCAGCTTCAACAGCAGCAGCTAGAGAGAGAGAGAGAGAGAGAGAGAGATAGGAGGTAGCAGCAGCAGCAGCAACAAGCAGCACCTCTCAGCCAGCTTGTGTGTGTGTGTGTGTGTATACGTGCGTGTGTGCGCTTGTGTACGCCATCCCCTCTCTGGCGTGGCCTTTTCCTCATTCGATTCGGAGGCTGCTCTTTGGTCTCGGAGCTCGAATGTGTGGACAGGTGGTGTAGTCTTTCTTCCGTGAAACTGATACCCTCAAGTCGCGACTCAACTCAACATCATCTATATCTACCTTTGCTTTTTTGGTCTAACCGCGCTTTTGAGGATTGTTCATCCAGGGCGATTTGCCTGTTGTGTCGTTGTGACATCGTTGTTCCATTAGGCTTCTTCACGACAGCGGTCAGTGATATACATATATAACGAAAGTGCTCACCATAGGGCATAGGACAACTGGACCTCCCGGAAGCTTTCACGTGAGGGTAAGTAAGTTATGATCTCCTGTCGCAGACTGCTGAAAGTACCAACTGCTCATTTTGTACGTTATTATAATCAACTTAACCTTTTAGATGTGTTCACTAAAGCGGATAGTAGTACAGTAGTAGGTCTTACATATACTACTACTTTAAAGAAAGAAAAAAAACAAAGCAATCATACAATAATACAAACAGGACATACAAAAAAGCAACAACAACAACAACACAAAAAAACAACCCCCC